TGTGAACCAATATTATAATTTTGTTTAACTCAGGTGAACAGAAATGGTTATGACTTTTACCTGTTACTCTGAAACTGTGTTGTCCTCTCTTCAGAAGCCATTAGATTTGTTTTTAGTTGGCAGATTAGAACTTTCATTGAGCAAACCCTCAGCTACATTTCCCATCAGTACAGCACCCAAATCCTCTGATTTCACCAAAGTTATGTTATTACAGAGTATGGCGTAGGAAAAATAAATTCCCTCTAAACTCCGTATCAGGTTTAAACTTCAGGGCAATGAAACATTACATCCTCTGGACTGGCAAAGCTCACAGTGAGCATTATACTCAGTTTCTTCATAAATTTACTTCTAAGCTATCACTTCATTACCCAAAAGGATCATTTACTCACGCTAATAAAAATATTTATACATTTTGTATAGATGCAAAAGTTTACTAGTTTCATGAATTTTTTCTGTCTTAGGATGCTGTATTCAAACTCTACCAGTAGAAAGGGCATTATAACAAGTCTTAGACTGTGCCCTATACGCATACTGCCTTAAACCTCCTCAAGAAGACCATCAATTTTTAAAATACCACCAACACTTCACTTCAGGTATGCAGAGGAGGAATCAGAAAAAGGTTTTTTTCCTGTATCAGAACCTGCCCATCTGGTTACCAAATCTCTCCCTTTCCCCCATCTTCTTAAAACACGGGGAATTTGAATTCACCTCCTGGAAGCCCAATGTAACAAGTGTTAATGTACAAGCAGCAATGAATTTGGAATACCTATTGGAATCACTGGAACACATTTAGTTGGGCCCTTTTACTCTTCCACACAGCGTTCACATGGACAGACTAAGGAAAAGGAGACGAAATTTAAATCAGCACATTTTTTTGCTTTATTACTTTAAAAAAAAGTGAAGTTGGAACCTTTTATATTGTACTTGACCATGACTCCCATCTCCCTCATCTCTCATAACTGATATAAAATACCTTGAGCTACCTTAAAAAATTAACCTGTTAATGGCTACTTAAGCCTCAATCGTTCTGAAGTGCTGGTTTTCTCTCTTCTGTCTGCATGCCTCAACACTCACTAAAGCTTTTGTCACTTGTGTATACTGGCCATCTCAATGTTCCTGGTGGCTTTTGTTTTTACTTAAATTTTTTTCTGGCTAGTGGTAATTTGTGGCAATGCTTCTCGTGTGCTTAGCAAGCATAGATTTTGCTGGACAGAACTTTACTTCCTGTAAGACCACAGCCTGTTAAAGGAACTGTACGAGACAACATGCCACAGATGTGTCCGTCGGGTAGATGCTGTTCGCTCTCTAGCGTGTAATCCCCGGGCATGTCCTCCGGTCTGCAGACGCTGGAGCAGGACACGCCCGGGAGGAACCTGTGCCGCGGGAACAGCACTGAGCCTTCCTCGGTGCAGCGGTGAGGGGCTGAACCAGCCTGTGCACGTCTGTCCTGACTGTAGTTACCACCCCCTCGCTTCTGCCTCGTTTCGCATGCCCACAGACCCAGCTTTGTTTAAAAGTAAAGCCCCTGCTCCTTCTCAGGTTGTGAGATGTTGACTCCTGGCGTGAAAAGGGAGGAAAAAAATTATAATATTCCTAGGTAATAATCAGATCATTTCAAATCAAACACATGAAGTTCCTCATCCCAGTAACCAAGCAGTCAGTGATTACTGGTGTTCTGGCCCATCAGGTCCCTGCACCTTTTGTCCCCCTAATGCTGGATCTACAGTCGCAACTAAAATCACTAGTTTTCTTCCTGATGCCCCAAAATTCTACTCATTCAGCTTTCCACATGGACAACACATTCCCAAACTAATCACAAGTCATTTGATTAGTTCTACGTTATTATGACTATCCACTTATTTTCTATCAACTACCTGAGAGTATTCTCTTTAGTGTAGCTGTAGTCCCAGTCCTAGGTGTTTAAAAAACAAAAAATGGGGTTAAAGCAGCCTAAACGTAACCTCAAATGTCACCCTGGCTAAAGCTACCACCTGCACATTTCAGTGTGGGAGTGGAGGAATGACAAGGCTGAAAAGAAAGTTCAATCCTAAAAACTGTCCAAGGAAAAGGCTCTTGTCTCTATCAGAAGTGTATTTATAGATTGACTCTTTTCAGATTTTTAAGGCAATTAATGATTTGAAGATACTGCAGTTTACATGACTAATAGATGCAAATTGCTCTTCAGAGATCCAAGGCGTTGACGAGACTCTTACTCAGAGCACTGAGAGCCCCTCCCAACTTACTGTGTTGCCAGGGCATACTTACTCTTGCTTTTATTGTTACTAAAATATTCAAGCTTAAATAAGCAGTTTTTCTCAGAGCCCCAAAAATAAGGACAGCAAAGTTAAGACTCAAACCATTTCAAGAATTTTGGAGAAAAACGGCTTTAGGAAGAGTATCATGTTCATCTTTCCAGGAGAGCATTTCGATGACTATCTCAGAAGGCTGGGCAGTGGAGGATTATTCTGCTACAAGTTCCATCTATTTTTTTAAAAAGACAGAGTTATGTGTAAAAAGGAATTAGAGGAGCCATGTTTCTAAGATGTGCCTTTATGTCGGAATGACCACCAGAAACTCTTGAACTATAAAAGATGCAAGTTTATGCATTCTTAGTATAAGCTTAATCTAGTTGTGGCTTTTTACTATCAATATACTCAGTAAATTGACAGCCAGATCTTTTGTGAGATGTCTATGCCACTGCCTAAAAACTGTTAAAATATTTCATCCTTTTCATTTATGCATATTATAAAAATGACCCCAGGATTAAAAGCCAATTTATTGTTTTAAAAAATAAACATGTCAACTGCCACAGCTGAGGCAGATATTAAATAATAGATTGTCCATGAATGTCAACTTCCCAGGTAGGTGAAAAACGTAGTTGCCTTTCCTGGAACACTTTCAAGTACTTTAGTGCTTAGGACATCCAGTTTCGCATTTATTTCCACATGGGACCTACCCTAGGCAAATGAGCGATTGTTGGACTTGGCATGGCTTGTCATTTTGATATCCAATCAATTTGACAGTGGCTGTCAGGGTACATTAGGGCAGAAGCTGGTCCAGGGCCTTCTAGGTCAGAGCCAAAGCCCGCCGTCAAAGGCTGGACCCATGTCAACAAGATGTCACCTCCCAGAACTTGGTCATGTCAGGTCACGTTCTCTCATCATTTCTATCTTGCCTTTTTTTTCCTGATTAGACTCTTATGTGGTTAGCTGTTTTAATACTAGTGTAGCTGACCGACCTGATCCAACTTGACTCTTTTATCTGTAAAACTTTCTAGTGAAAAGCGCTTCTTACACCACCTGTAAACCTCACCATCTCCCAGGTGAGGTTTCTCTAGGCATAGCTGGATATGTGTTGAGCATTATACATGTTTTTTCGTTTTGTTCTGTTTTGCTTGCCAGGAGAGGTGGGTGAGGGGTGGAGTAAATAAACCAAGTTTCTCATTCACAGATCTTATTCTGCCAAACTTGGCATTCTTCTCCCTTTGGCTTACCATTTGGTGCACTCTGTTCTAAATTTCTTAACGTACTTTCTAAGATTTCATATAACCTATCAATTCTGACCTTCAGACTCCTTACTTGAACATTTTAACATTTTCCTGGACAGTGTTTTTAACATCCATCCCATCTCTCTTCCCAGAATCTTCTGGGCTACAGAGGCAGGCTATTCTATCAAACAGTGTCTGCCATTTGGCCATCACTCTTGCACTGCAATCATTAGAATACGGAATCCTTAGTAAGCAATTTTAAACTTGAAGGTAAGTATGTGCAAGGTTTTTAAGAGGGATCCAAACACTCAGGGTACCTAAACATTCATTAGCAACAAAGTTTGTGTTTTCTCCTCTGGGTTTAAATTAAGTCTGTGCAATCCTTGCATAGTATTCTCTGTAAGTAGCTCATGCTAATGACTGCCAGCAGTAAGCTAATTGCTAAAAAGACAAAAGCCCTGAGACACTACCTTGCATTAAGTATTTTTATGGTGATTCTAGGATTAGCCTTGTTCCACAAATTTTTCAACTGAAGCTACCTATACCAACATCTGAAACTTAATTCCAGCTCAGCTTCTGAGGAAAAAAAATCCTAAAGTTAAAAATCTGATTTCAAGTGGCTAGAACAAAAATCTAAGCAATCAAACATAGACAAACCTAAACTTACCAGAAGCAACCTAAAACACCAACAAACCACTAGACTGAGGTTTTAGTTCTACAGTTTGACTCCTGATTCCTCACTTCACATCAGTGAGGGTCCTTTTAGAAGATTAAGTGTTCTGTGCAAACCCAATAAAATTACAGTTAGGGGATCTAATGTAATCACATAGCTACAGTTAAGTTAGCAGTGTTGTGTAGCAGTGAAATCAACGACTGGCTTGCCTGATGGCTTCTAAAAGCATCTGTTCCCAGAGTCTCATGTATTATATATGTATATAAGATATCAGTTGAGGACAGCCAGTAGCATTTTGCAAACATGATAAACTGAGTGTTAACTTCTCCCAGCCATTACCTTTTCCCCTCCTTAAATGTTAAGTCATCAGCAGGGGAGGGGAAGGGAAGAATTCAACTTTACTTCATAATTAAGATCAATTGCCAGTATACATTTAAGTTTTTAAAACCTAAATGTTCCAAGTACAGAGTAAATAAGCAGCTGTCCAGAAAGCACACACTTAAATTTTCTCCTCTTGGGAGTTTTAAAAAGGGATTTTGAACCTTGATGGCGAGAATCCCAAAACGAGAGTAAAATGAATTCTTTTTATTGCAAACAAACGTCTAAATTAATTTCTCCACCCACTTTCTTTAGAAAGAAAAAGAAATCAGCAGGCTAAGGAGATACCCATTCAGGAACTGACATGATTAAAAATTAAGATATAAATGGGTGACTCACAATTGCATTAGCTTACAAAGATGGTGGAGTTTACTACTACAAGCACACTAGTTATACAGTATTTTGTGGGAGAAGGGCATACAGACATAGCTAACTTCATATAGATCCCATTAGACAACTGGATTTACAACAAGTTTTTTTTTAATAAGAAATGGGCAAAGCCAGCTTTCTTTTCAGAATCAAAATGCAGAACAAATGGAAAAATTATGGTATTTAACCTTCACAAGTTTGAGCCTCCACAAATAATACAACCAAGTTTTACATTTTTAACAGCCCTTCTACATACACTCCATCTTCTCTATCTCGGTTCCAACTTTTATCTTCATTCAATTGTGCCAATTCCGTTGTTATTTAAAAAAGAAAAAGCCTTCCCAGGTATTGTCAGAAACTACTATTTAGCATACCCCCTCCACTACTCAGCAAACTACAGAGAGGATGGAGTGTACTATGAGCAGTACAGAGTCTTAGGCAATTCATGAGGACCACGTGATCCTGACATGAATCTGGCTGCTAACATTTCTATTATACTGTGACAATGACTCCCGACTGTTCTCTCTGTGAGAAATGGGGGGAGTAAATTCTTAATAAAAGACACCAGGTACAAAGCAACATTTTACTTTTGTTGTGATAAAAAAAAAAGTCACATTTTACAGATAAAATGTAGAACCCTGAAATACTGACACATTCTCTTATCGTGCACAATGCTGAGGTTCTCTTACGATTCACTTTAAAACTGCAATTAAAAATGTACAAAAAAGAAAAGAAAAAAAAAATCAACCCACAAAGCTTCTAAAAAAGGAACCCGCAGGCACTTCCTCTTGTGGAATGTTTAAAAAGTTAGCCTACTAAAGAAAACAGTCGACTTCTTGTGAAGGTTTTGGAGAAATATGTATCAGTTCGTTTTATTTGGGTATTCAATAATATCCTTGGTGATAATGCTGACTCCATGGCTTCTGACCCCAGAATTGCTGTAAGAGAAAATTTTTTTTTTAAAGAAAAAACATCAATAAGCCACTCAAACTGCTTTTAGGAAATGACAATGAATTTAATTCAGAGTAACTGCTGGAAACAAATTTATACCTGTCATACTTCTGATTTCTATCAAACCACATTCAGTTAGTATTAATACCCCATTATCAATAATAAACACATTACGAAAGGAAACACATCAGGACTTGGTTAGTTTATACAATTAACGCTAGCAGTAAAAAAACCATATGTATTAAATAATATTACTTCATTAAAAAAATATTAAGTTACAGCAAACTCCAACCTATTTTGTCTTCAAAAGATTATGGCTACTACTGCAACACAGTTCACACTTTGCCCCGAAACACTTCAATCCCTGGATAACATCTTTTTGAAGAATGATTCCTATGAACTCAATATAGAATTTAATGTACATAACCACGTAAGAAATTACTTACACCCTGCTGCCACTGGTTGTAGCCCTGAGATTGATTTTTATAGCCACGATTGTTTCCTCGTCCTCTGAAGTTCTAAAATGTAAAAGAAAGAAAAATATTATTATAAGAACTCCAAGCACAACACAGAAAGGGATAGCTGCTAATGTGCCTAAAAGTCAAACCTAAGTGGATCCATTTCACTACCACCACTAGTGCTTCCTGTGTCAGTGCATTCACCCTGTGTGCCCACGATTCTTACTGAGGCTCTGTACGCGACATGGGTTCTTTCAGACTGGTTTATACAACAGACGAACAGGATCAGTGCCTGCAGGGATCACACATCATTACCTGGTTGTAGTTTCCTCTGTTGGGCATTCCACCTCTGTTGTAGTTCCCCCCTCTGTTTGAATAACCACCTCGGCTGCTAAAAACAGGGCCACGAGGATACGGATAGCCAATTCCGCCACTTCCACCTCCGCCACCACCTCTCTGTGGCATGTTGCCCCTGTTATATCCACCACGATTCCCAGGAGCTGAAAACAAGAGACAGTTTAGTTTATAGGGTGTTGTATGTACCTCCTTTACACGTATGACTTCGGGTTTTCCTGGACCCTTCTTTTATTCTCAGGGAAAAATACATGTTTGAAGGTTTTCCCTTGCTTCAATCTTGAACCAAATCAACAGAATACTCAAAATTAACTTGCCTCCTCCTCTGAAATTTCCACCACGCATATTGAATCCACCACGTCCTCTATGGCCGCCACCTCTGTTAAACTGGTTCTTGCCACTCTTGTTTTTATTGCTCTTCTTTGAGCCAGTGTTCTGTTTCTTTTCTGGGTGAAGAGCCTTCTTGCTCTCTTCCTTATACTGCTTCAGAAGTTTTTGGGCTTCCTCCCTCTGAAGCTCGACGTAGGTTATCTCATCAAAGCACTCAGCTACCTCTGGCAGTGTGAAGTTTCCTGCAAGGAATAAATCATACTCCTTAAACCTACCTTTAAGTTTTTCAACACACGACGAGTACCTATTCCTAGTTTACTAAATATTTCCATAAAGGTAGAAATAAGCCAAACACAGTCATTTACAAAGAGTTATTACCGTAACTCCTGAAACAGTGTTATTAGCAAGAAATGTTGAAGTAAGTTTACAGATATTAAGCCACATGAAGAGATGTAACGTAGTAATGGAACTAAATGTCATGCCTTTCATTTTGAGAACTGCGTGTTCTGGTAGGTCTTTCCCCTCAACTTCTGCTTTCTTCTGCGTTCGCTGCTTATAGTCTTCATCCTTCGGGCAGACTACGACAGCCTTTCGTTGGAAGCCTACGAACAGGCACATTTTTCTCCTCTGGGCAGCAGCAGACACGTTTGTCTTAAAAAAAAAAAAAAAGTTAAGTTTATTTATTAATTCTACACCAAACCCAATTTTTAGTTATTTTCTTTCAACTTCCAGTTTCCAGCTTACCTGATCCAGAATGAAATTTCGCTTCTTACGGGCAGCAATCTCAATAAACTTTCCAAGACACTGAGGTGCTCTCTGCAACAGTGTGTTCAGTTTTCCAGTATCTGCCATTTGCTTCTTAAAGCCTGCCACCTATTTTTAAAAGTTGAAAATGTCCTTTGAACTTGTGAATCTCAAGCTAAATTTAGTATCAGCTTAAATCTCTACATATAGAAAACGGACACTTGAAACATTGCCTTTTCCCACTATTAAAAAAAGGGGTCCCTATCATGTACTAAGACCCCTCGCTATTCCATCTTTGTAGCTGCCAGATGAAAAAAATTTACAAAATTCTTTAGGAAAGATGAAGAAGCCAAGCATTTGGAAAGCAGTTTACTTTACAGATAAAGAACCCACACTTAAGTAACCAATTTCACTTTGTCCCAACTCCTATCTCTAAAATACTATCAAACTGGATAAGGGCAACAGGCAAAGGAACTACTGAGAACACCTAAAGTCTTTTTTAAATGCTTAGATTATATCCTCTCAAACATTCTACTTACCATCATTTTATCCATTATGGTGTTTGTTCCAAGAATGTTGTATTTACCGGGATTTTCTGCTGCATGTTTAGTAACCCAGGTAGTTTTTCCAGCTCCTGGCAAGCCAATCATCATAACCACCTGCAATGCAAAGCAATGTTATTTCACCTAGTAATTAAAGAAATATTTTAATAAACAAAAACAACCTAAATATCTGAATTTTCACAGCACTGTAACAAAGTAATTTGTGTTTGGGAAAATTGTGACACTCCACATTAAGGGAGGAGATAGCTTCTAAGAGAAAAATTACTGAGAGCAACAGGAATGGCATAAAGTCAATGGAACAGACCAATCACCCAGCTCTTCCAAATGTCATCTGCGCCCCAGCAAAAGCAATGCTCAAATGCTCGGCGGGGGGGATCACTTACTTCACAATCTTTCTTCTCTTCGGGCCCCTTTGGACCTCTAACACGGTCCTCCAAGGGAACATTCTGGATGAAAGTGTAGTCCTCGGGTATTGGAAAATATGGCTTTTCCTTCTGACCAAAATTGAATTCCACAGCACAGTTGTGGCAGAGAACATGTGGGAAGAGCGGCCGTCCAGCAAGAACTTCCTTACTGATTTTGAAGGCAACACCGAGCTCTTGTCCATTCTTTGCATAGGAGAGTTCTACTTCATCACTTTCAAAGTTCTGTTAATTTGGGGGGCGGGGGGGGGGGGATAATAGTTTTAAGACTTGTAAAAACCCTCAAAATTCAGACTAGGACTGAAGCTTATCCTGTGGAAAACACATTTAGATTAAATATTAAGAGGTTTCTGATGATTAAAAACAGTGAAACACCTGTCTCCAGAAGCAAAAACAACATGGTCTTAGAAAGCAAGACTAGATTTCCAGGTCAACTAGATGTCCCGTAGATTAGTCAGAATGAGTTAGTAGTGAATGCTGATAACTGATACAGCTTTAAAAAGAGCCCTGGCTGGTGTGGCTCAGTGCACTGAGTGACCAAAGGGTCACTGGCTCGACTGCAGTGAGGGGACATGCCTGGGTCACAGGCCAAGTCCCCAGCAGGAGGCGTGTGAGGGGCAACCACACACTGATTGTCTCCCTCTCTCCCTTCCCCCATCTCTAAAAATAAATAAAATCCTTTTTAAAAAAGTAATTTCTAGCATGTATCTTGCCCTTTATACGTAAATGTTTAGCTATAACTTACAGCAAAACATGTAATCACATCATTTTCATCAAACTTCTCTCCATAATCTTCAGTCTCACAGTTGCATGTTTTTATTCCCTTTAGAGAATACCCGTAAGAAAATTCTTCTTCACCTAAGAAAATAATTAACTACCATGAAGCTGATTTTTCAGAACAGTCCAATGACCCACATTTTAATATTCAAGATGTAACGTTTAAAAGAAGTGTATATTTAATACTTTTTCACTTACACTGACTTGTAACTAGATACACAACCAACGAGAGCGAGGTGGGTTATATAACTAGTTGACAAACTGCATAATATGGGTAACATTCTATCTTAACCCACCGGACATGAAACAACCATAAAAGAACAAAAACTGCCCTGGCTGGTGTGACTTGGTGGATTGGATGCAGGCCTACAAACCAAAGGGTTGCCGGCTTGATTGCCAGTCAGGGCACATGGCTGGGTTGTGGGCCAGGTCCCCAATAGGGGGGTGCGTGAGAGGCAACCACACATTGGTATTTCTCCCTTTCTCCTTCCCTTCCCCTCTCTTTAAAAAAAAAAAAAAAAAAAAAAATCACCACACAAAATAAAACCTAAAATTTAGCCCATGCCTACTACATGCCAATGTTATTAATCTCATTTAAAATATTAACAGAATTGGACAAAAGCAAGCACAATATTTGGAATGCATTCTACTCTACTGAAATCAGACCCCAAATGGCAACTTTACCAAGTAACATTCCACTTGTGGTTAGAGACCAGCCAATCCGAACTTCATGTATGTCAATATCTTTTGTATATAAATGCCTTACTGGGATCTTCTCTGTAACCTGGAAGTCAAATCATAAATGGTTAAACTGTAGACCTACAGATAAATCCTTAAAGCCAGGCTTACTTCACTTGTGCCACAGGCTAACTCTTCTCTGGCTACCAATACAAAAAGACACCCACTCAAGAACTTAAATATAAGGGTTTATAACATGAAAAGGTTTAAGTACTTGGTTGACTCACATTTAAAGGAACAGTTAATGTTTAAAAATTACATATTCTCCATACTTTACCTAAAACCAATTGTAACATTTATTTAACTTTTTTTCCTACGGAACAAAATCAAGGGCCTATTTTTAAATCTTTGGTAGGTTTTTTTCAAGTCTCTGATTTTAAACAAGAGCACTCTTAATTAAAAAGCAGGCCATATACCCCAAATTCTGATGTAACAAACACGTTTAACTGTTAGGAAAAGGTTTCTAAGCCCCTCTTCTAATACAGAGACTTCCAAAAATAAAAGGTTCCACCGACACCTTAAGTGTCAGGCAAATGGAAACTCGCAAAGGTTCTTTAAAAAAATAAAAAAGCCCTACAAAATTGTATTTACCTTCATTTCAAAACAGACTTTGCCTTTTGACACACCGTAAGAAGCCCTTCCTCCAGCCCAAAGAAAAGCAAAACTCTCCATAGTAAGGGAAGAAGCACTGAGGCGATCTCTTGATATTTTAAAATGTAGATCACAATTATCTGTAATTATATCAAATACCATATTATTTCTTTTGACAGTAAGTATAAATACATCTGCTATGCAGACAAAACTTGATTATTAAATCTCTGCATGTATTTCTAAGTGCTGCATAGTACACTTTCCATGCTGTTTTCAATTTTCACTTTTAAGCCCCACTCCCACCAAGTCATTCTTGCCAAATTATCAAGTGTAAACTACCTATACAACTAAGAAACACCAAGGTTTAATGTGTATTTTAAGTGTATAAAATAATCAAGACAATGTGACATTAATACATACCTGCTCTGCTCTTTACCTTGACTTAGAGGCAGGCAGTAGAGGACAGCAGGAAATCAAAGTGGAGCATGCCCGAGCCAGGCAGAACTTACCAGTGCCACAACAACACTGAAGGGAGGCCATGGCCAAAGAGTGTCTAAAACGAGTACGAGCTGCCCACCCTGTACTTTCTCATCTTAGAACACCAGGGGCTCTAGACTCTAAGTTCTTTTCTAAAAACTTGTGAAGGAGGCAGCCTCAATCTATAAAACCCAAGTCTGGTTGTCTAACGCTGCTGCCGTTCCAGCACTTTAGGTCTCCTTTCCCCAGGGGGGCTGTTACTCACAAGGGGGATTACCGGATTCCGGGATTATCCAAATCCAAAACGTCTTCACCTAGCTATGTTTGGGTCAGTGGCTCATAGCATGCATTTTTGAGGGAAACTAAAAAGTTAGAAAGCTGTTTTCTTACAGGTTTTTTTGGATGAGGAAAATTTAAATCTACAGTTTGGAACTCTTATAATAGCTTTGCTCTTAAAATTCCTGACCATCATGGAATAGAACTTTCAATTCAATATCGTATTTGAACCCAGTACTGACTGCACTTAACAAATTAATATCCCTAGGTGACGAGCTACAAGCCTGTCTGTCCATAACAGTAGCGTTACCTTGAATCACTGCTTCAGTATCTTGCCAACACCTACAGTTTATACTTAAGAAACTGAATTTAACAAAACTTTTGAATCAACTGCCTAATTTTCCACACATTTTTCTTTTGAAAGACTCCACTATCTCAACTACCTGAAAAGGGCAGTCAATAACGAAGAGTTTTACATGACCACTTTTACATACCTAGGTAACCATTTGTATTTGAAATCACCAGAATCTGAATTTCAACTCCCCAGGTTCTACACAGGGCAGGTGCCTGACCTCTCAGTTCTCAAGCAATTGCTGCTACACCTTGTTCCATCACTGAAAGAACTGTGCATTCCAATCAAATACTAAATCAACTAATCTTTCTGTAAATAAAAACTACAACTGACGCCCGTTTAGAGGTTTGCAATACTTCCTCATACTCAATTGCAACCCAACTGGGTAAAGTAGCAGTATTTACAGCGCTGCCATTGATACCATTCGCTGGTGAAGAAAGCTAGTGGCCCAGTGATAGCCCACTGCTGCTGCCCCAGGTCTTTGGAAGAAATCAACTTATGTTAAAGCAGCAGCTACTGAACTGGAATTGAGAACAAAAGAGCAGTTATTGAGAAAGTAATATTACAATCTTTTAGAATAGGGAATACACTTGTGTGCTAATGGGGAAATCATTAAGTATTTAACCCAAATAGCTCACTTAACATAATTCCACAAAGAATGCAGTTACTTCATCTTAGAAGCCTATAGGATAAGTCTTAAGTAGCCTTACAAGTTTCAATTAGTTAGGTAGTCAAAAATCGGCATTAATTTTACATTCCTACAAAGAACTTTCAAGTCAAATACAAATATTACCAAGTTGCTAGAACCTGTAAAATTATCAATACAACTGATGCTATACTAAATATTAAGGTACCGGAATCTGAATACAAGCCATCATCTTCCTGCCTTTAAAAACTGCTTTAGTTTCCTTGCTACGTTTTCAGCATTTAAGTTCAAGGTACTACAAAAGTTTCCTAACGCTCAGGAACGAAACCCACATTTGAAATGGGGGATGAAGGGGAAGAAGCAGCTTCACTTACAAGTGTCAAGACAAACCACTGTGTCATCGAAGTGCTCATCTTCTTCTTCAACAGGTGGCTGAGGAGACTTGGCTCTGAAAGACAATATTGTCTCCTGATTCAGCTTTCCCCACCAAAGAATAAAGAATGGGCGACAAGACTCGGTAAGCACCATCTACCTGCTATACTTGTTCTCTTCAATGTACTCAAAATATCCACGGCCATGGTCTTCCCGAGGTCGTTTAACACCTCTCTTTTTATCTCCGCCTTTCTGCTCTGTTTTGCCGTCTCCTACAACACACAACACCCCTGTGTAAGAGGCAAAGCCACAGCACAACAAAAATAACCCTTTTGAGGCTCAAAAAAGCTCAACATTTCCCTGTTCCTTTTCCTAAGCGTTTTCAACGACCAATCAAATGCGAATTCAAAAAACAATCAGCTTGAAATCGGACTGGAGTTAGTGACGCAGTCTACAGACATTACAAATATTGCCACCCTGTTCGAAGATTCGAGAAACCCAGTGAAAAATAGCGCCGCACAGGCAGAGCCCACGTGTAGCCCAAAGAGTTCAGGGAAGGGGGAGGGAACGCGCTCGGCCCGCGCGCCCAGCCCTCCCCTCCCCCATCGGGGCCCGCGCTCCCGAAGGCCGCATTGTACTTATTTTCCGCCCCGTTCTCCCCCCGCCGGCCCCTCCCGCCGGAAGTGACGTCACACCGAGCCCCTAAGCTCCTCGCACAATACCGCGGCCCAGGGCCGCCAAAGCGCGCCCGCCCGGGCCCTCGGGCCTCTCCCCTCCCCCCCGAGACATGTGCCCGCAACGCGCGCACGCTGCGCGGCGGCGCCACCGCGGGCCGACGGGGCACCCCCCCCGCCCCCGACTCCTCCCCTCCAGCGGCAGCTGCAGCTCCCCCTGGCTCTCGAGACACATAATGGAGGCGCTGCCACCACGGTCACACACACACACACACCGATCCCCAGGCCTCACGGCTAATCCGGGATTCCCCGCGCCCCTCCTCCAACGCCCCCTCGCCGCGGCCCCCGCCCGGGACTCCCTCCCCCTCGGGGCTCCGGCAGGCCTAGGGCACGGCTCCACCCGCGCAGGCCTCCCGCCGCGCGCAACGGTACAACGCAGCACTCACCCGCCGCCGGAGCCCCGGGGCGACCGCCGCCTCCGCCACCTTCCACCTTCTTCTTACCTCCCGACTGCTGCTGGCCCTGGCTGGCCCCGGGTGGCGCCACCGTCACCGCGAGCAGCGAAGTGGGGCCGCTGCTCTTCCCCGCGGCCTCCTTGGCGGCCCCGCGCTGCTGTTGGGGCTGTTGCTGCGGCGTCGCCGGCGGTTGAGCCTGCTGTTCCCCGTGCCCGTTCTCGTCGCCCGCGCCTTCCTCCTCTTCTCCGAGCTCATCCTCCCCCTCCTGGAAACCCTGGTCGTCGCCGTTCTCGTCTTCCGAGGCGGCCTCCTCCTCTTCCATCGGGCCCGAGTCGGCCGCCCCCGCGGCCCCGTTCTCCTCCCCTAGCTCCATCTGGTCGCCATCCAGGGCGGCGATCCCTTCCTCCTCCTCTTCCTCCTCCTCCTCTTCGTCGCCGCCAGTCGCGGCCTCCTGCTCGAGGCCTGCTCCCGAGCGCCCGGCGGAATCCCCGCCCAGGTCTAGGCTGCCGTTCCCGGGCTCCATGGCAGGCCGGCCGGCCTCCTCGTTGTCCAGCGCGGCCTGGAGACGCTCCATGAGGTCGGCCTTGAGGCCCTTGTCGGAAAGGCGCCGCTTCTTCAGCTCCTCTTTCAGCTCCGACACCTTCAGCTTTTTTACATTAACAGGCGAGGAACTCATGGTGAGGGCCTCGGTTCACCGCTAGGCGCTTGCTCAAACTCGGCTCCGCTCACTCGGCCACTGGCCGCGGCTGCTGCGACTGCTTTTCGGCCCGGGCGGCGGCTGCGGCTGCGGGTGGAGGAGGGTTCCTGCTGCAGAGCGGACCCGCCTGGTGTCGAACGGCGCCAATTCCTTTCACGGAGTTCGCGAGGGAGACGCGGACACTCGCCTGGCGCGAGCGAGCACGCAACGTCCTCTCGCAGAGGCGGTGCCGCGCACGTAATATAGTCGCCCCGCCCCTTGCGTGACGCGAGCTCTGCGCAGTAGGGAAGCCGGAGCGCGCCCGCGCTCTGCCCCCGCCCCTTACCGTACTTACCTCTCCGCCCCCACCCCCCACTCCGGGCGGGGAGCGCGGCGCGGGCCGCGCTGTGCGCTTCCAATTGGGATTGAGGAAATGGAGGAAAAGTCTTTTCACTCAAACCGACTCCCTGTAACATGTATTGGCCTCTCTAGTTTTTTTAGCGGCAATACTCGTTTTGCTCTTTGCTTTTGCCGTCCCAAGGCTTCTATTATCCAAATGCTCTCAGTCCTCAAGTTGTCAATTTCAGCTGGAATCCTCCGCCTTCCATCTTAGATTTGCTCCATCCAGCTATTTGTTTTTAAATTCGTCATTAAAATTTTATTTCGGTTTTGATTTGTACAATACAACTTGGACAATTACTACACGCAGGTCAATTTCTTATAATTAATATTCGGTTTGATTTTTCTAAGTCCTGCTTGCCAGTTAGATTTTAAATTGGGGAAGGGCGAGGGCAGAGCCTTTCTTTTGTCTCTCCCACAACCCCTGCTGCGGGGCTTGGGAGGTACAGCCTTGCCTTAGGAGTGCGATCCCCTAACCACTCTGCAAAGCCTTCTTCTTGGGCCTTGTCATGGCAGCTGCCTTGTAGTGGTACTAACAGCTAAAGAAATGAAAGCCTCATAATTGCCTTTCTGGGTTTTCTCCATCTACCAAAAAGACAGACCTACTCTTAACACACGCACTGTCCAATTTAGGACCTTGGCTGGCCATCCAGATATGAAGAAGCCGCAGTAGCTAACACGGATGAGACCAGCTAAACCATACCCTTTGATTCTATTCCTACTCGTGTAGGAGTATTCTTGACCACATCATGCTGAAATTCTAATAAAAGCAACTCGTGTAGGAGTATTCTTGACCACATCATGCTGAAATTCTAGTAAAAGCTCATGAAAAATAAAGGGCTGTGATTTTGTAAAAACAAAAAATAGACTCACTGTAGAAACCTGTTTGGGGTTTTATTTGTTTTGGTGTCTTAGAAGTTTATTTTTTTTCTTTACTAAGGTGTGTTATGTTCTTGAGATTTTAGATAGGGGTGCCAGAATTTAGATCTGTGATAGAGGTGAACATCTTAAAACTGAGAGAACCCGCCTGTGTTCCACTATCTCCAAGGAGGTCAATTATACTGGGTACACTGGTGCTTAACTGGCACAATAATGCTGCCCCAATATTAATTTTTTAAAAAGATTTTATTTATTTTTAGGGAGAGGGGAAGGGAGGGAGAAAGAGAGGGAGAGAAACATCAACGTGTGGATGCCTCTGGCGCACCCCTTACTGGGGACCTGGCCTACAACCCAGGCATGTGCCCTGACTGGGAATCAAACCAGTTACCCTTTGGTTTGCAGGCCAGCACTCAATCCACTGAGCCACATCAGCCAGGGCTGCCCCAATATTAATTTGAAATTTGGAAATATGCACATGTAAAATTACTCCCATAGGCTAGTATGATTTAACTAATGTGTGTGTGTGTGTATACATTTCTAAGTTTCTTTTTGATAGCTTTTGACAATCATATATGTTACCATACAGGCATGTATAAAGATGAAATGATTTCAATTGAAATTAATGGACTGTGCACAGTACTAGTATTCTCAGTTCAAGTTAATGGAGGTGGATGGTATAGCACCCAAAATAGGAAATTTCACGTAGGGTCAAAAACTCATTTTAGCCTTTGGTTATAATGTCCTGGAGCTTATAAACAAGTCACAAACTAGAATTGGAATTTTTCAAGCCCTTTTTCCCTTGTTCAAAAATGGGAAGAGAGCTACAGGGGGCTTAACATGTTCACAAAATGGGTAATTAGCCCCTTAATGAATGAGAGTTAAGTATAGTTTTGATGGTCCTTTAAATTTTATGTTCTTAAATACTACATACATTTTTAAATATTTAGTGATATTTAAAACTTTCCATTTAACTGGAAAAAAAAACAGAACCATGAAAACATAAAGCGTATACATGTAAAAAAAAAAACCCTACCATATTTCAGACTATAAGACGCACCTCCCTCCCCCCCCCCCCCCAATTTGGGAGGCATAATGATTGTTAATGCTGCTGTGGAGTTCTGTTTACATTCACGTTGGTGAAATATTGTGTTATTTATGTTATTAACTATTTTACCACATTTTTTGCTTCATTTTTTTTTCCTATTTTCCTCCTCTAAAACCTAGGTGCGTCTTACGGTTTGAAAAAAATACGATATTTAAAATTGTTCTTGGTAGGTTAAACCAGTTGTAATAAAACACCCAAAATAAAGAAAGTTCCTAGCGCGGGCTGGGAACCAAAGTGTCCCAGGTTCGATTCCCAGCCAGGGTACATGCCTGGGTCATTCAGGGTACATTGCAGGCCGTAACACCCAGCAACCGCACATTGATGTTTTTCTCTCTCTCTCTCTCCCTTCCTCCCTTCCCTCCCTAAAAATTAAAAAAAAAAAAAAGAAAGAAAGTTCCTTGGTTTTGTCTCCAAGAGCTTTGCGGGTTGTGGAGTTCAGCAAAGCCTGGGGAACTCAGTCTGCTCACTTGACAGCCCCTGGGGCCTTGAGACCCTCCCTCCCACCCCAGGGCTCCCGCCTCGCTCCAGGCCTGCCTAGGCATTTGAAAGAAAAACAGTTTGTGTAAATACTCAAAGAGCCACTGCCTTGCTGTTTGTTCTTTTCGCCAGTGGGTGAAATCTGCCATTTTAATATTTCACCGCTAGAAAGTACATTTAATGACAATTGTACTTTTTTTTTTTTTTTTTTGCTTCTTATGCTTCCAATGCTGCCACGTTGATCTTTTACAGAGACCAGTAAGAGTATAGATCACTTCTTCTAAATCGCCAACGGGCTTTTAAGGAACTGTAAATTTCCCCTTTTTGAACTCCTAGAGACTACCAAGAATACAGAGTGAAAGAGGACATAAATGAATTTTCAGTAGCAAAAAGGAATTACCTGTGGGTAACAGATCTATGAGAGGCCATTACCGAGTGAGAGTGCTCAGAATACATGCCTTACACTTGGAGGTTGAAGCAAAGGCACTACCTAGGGGCTATTCTTTGTCACACAGCCCAGCCAGTATTTCTTGAGCCCCTTCCTAAAGACAGGCAGTGGTGCCCTGGATGGCATAGCTCAGTGGATTGAGCGTGGGCTGCAAACCAAAGCATCGCAGGTTCAATTCCCAGTCAGGGCACATGCCTGGGTTGCAGGCCATGGCCCCCAGCAACCGCACATTGATGTTTCTCTCTCTCTCTCTTTCTCCCTCCCTTCCCTCTCTAAAAATAAATAAATAAAATCTTAAAAAAAAAAAAAGACAGGCAGTGATCTACTAGGACTGCAGCAATGAGATATGCAATGAAGCCTGCACTCTCTTAGGGGGAGTTAGTCAACAACGAAAAGAATTGGTAACAAGTACTTCAGGGAAATAGGAATCAGGGGAGAGGGAGGGTGTCCTGAAATGGGGAGTGGGTTTTCAGCTATAAATGGGGTGGTCAGGGAAGTCTAAGGAAAAAGGTAACATTTGAGCAAAATACCTGGTAAATATAGATTTCTGACGGGAAAGATGGGAAGTGAGAGCAGAGAGTCAAGCAAAAGGAGGGGAGGTACAGATTGCCAGCCACCTTGCAGGTGGTTTTGTAGGGACTTTAGCTTTGCTTCTGTGAGAAGGGGGGCATTGAAAGCTTAGCAGCCATGAAGTGGCATGAACTGATAGGAATGCTAAATTCAGAGGACTCAAGATACTATTCCATTTACCTCTAATTTTTTAATGTAATACAAACAAGCCCAATAGAAATTAACGAAAGAAGCAAAAAATATGCTGAGATACACTTTTGAAACTTCTTACAAAGATGTGAGAGGTACAGATACCTCCAAATGATTGTGCATTAAAAGTACCTTTTCAAACAGACAACCAGGAAAGCCCCAGTTGGAAGGGAGGATGTATCAAGTACAGATCAAAAATGCAAGTTTAAAAGTCAGACCCGCTTTGCAGTCCCAGCTCCACTGCACAGAAGCTGCGTGATCTTGCACAAGCTACTTATCGCTCTATGCCTGAGTTGACACACATATAAAATGATATATAGATAAAACCTGCCTCATGAGGTTGTTGGGAACATTCAGGCAGGTAGTGGACAGAAACCCAGAGTGCAGTGCTGGATACCCAGGAGGAGTTCAATAAATAGTAGTCTTCATTAGATACCCTAAGCAAGTTCATGAATTTAAGGAAATCGATGATTCTGTTATTAATAGCTTATTTAGGGAATGATCATGACCTATTTTGTAAGTTATCAGTGAGTTGTTTGCGGTAAGATGCCAGTCTGGGAAAGAGTGGATGTGACATCTACACAGGAGAGTCCAGATTTTTAATCCTAGGCCTGGGGCTGTCCTCTTGAGTCCTCTTGAGTGTGACGTTTGGGGAATCGAGCGCCCTGTCTGGATGACAGTGTCCGCATCAATAAGTGCAGCAGAGCAGATCCAGTTTGTAGGGTCCCTTCACTGGCAACCTTCTGTGAATTTCTTTTTTGCTGACTCCAAGGTGTAAATGAGGGGGCGTGGAGGGGGGAGTACTGTTAAAATGTTAAGGCATCATTATTCATATTTAGATTTTACTTGTTATATTTAAAACTTTGCATTAGAGTCTCAAAGCATTGTACAATTAATTAGTAGACATGAAATTTGAACAGTGTGCCGTGCTTTTTGAATTTTAAATGGTACAAAATGCTCCCAACTTACATGAAAATTTGGTGTCACAATGGGCTAAAAGTTTTGAAGTCAATGGTTTCTATTTGAATCATCTTATCTTTGATGTTATGATTCTCCGTCTTCATAGAAATTATGTAACTTCTGTAGAATAAGATGTACCCATTAGAAAGTTTCAGGGAAACTAGAATCGTGGTTAATAATATGATATCAGGGCTTTTTATTTTTCTTT